CTAAAACACTTGGATTTTTTACGGATACAATCCTTTCCATGTTGATGGTCCACATTGAATGTTGATTGCCTGAATTCAATTCAGGTGAAATCTGTTTCGCAAGGTTTAGCAGAAAAGGTACGAAGATTATGGAATTTGAAGATAATGATCCAGTATAATCCGTCGATAAATGATGGTGGGTTGTAGACTTCTGGAATGCTTGCTTCGTCAAACTTTGACATTTGGGAAATAAACACGCACAAAACAGGTTGCTGTGTTACCGTGCATTCAATAATGAGCAACTCGAGTTACTCAGAGTTACTCAAAATTAACTCCAATATTACTCATGATTAAAAGCTGACTTGCCCCTAGAGTCCTACGTCAAAAGCTAAAGTTCTACATAGCGATCATAGGTCAACTCTTACTACACTCGCTGACTCACCGAACCGGGTATCTGTACCTACTGATCACAATGTGACGAATAAGTTAAAACTTTTAAATTATGATGTTGGTCCCACCTCTTACCCCTACAAAGGTTTGAGCCCGACGATTTAGCTTTAAGATAATTAAGTATAACATGTTAACCAGATTAGCAAACAAAACGATCTGGTTACAGTCTGAGTGCGGTGCGGAGTCACTCGAAATGGTTGTCAAAAAAATCCAACGATCAGGATCAACACCAAGGCTTACGTCCCGTAAACAGATTCGTTCGAAAGATGAAGTATTGGGATCAACGTTCAAAATGTTATCCTTAAATTAAATTGCAAAGTAATGAAGTGTATCTCAAAGACTTGCCAAATTTATTAATTCCAATGATAAAGTAATCGTACTTTATTGCAATAATCACTAAATAGTGATTGTAAACATCCTCAACAAAGAAAACCTGATCATCAAAGTAAACGGATGATATTGATCAGTTTCTTACTTGATAACTATTTTAAAGCTTATTCCGAAAATTTATAATTATTGTCTTAATTATGCAATAGTAAACAAATAATGAGAAAGTCACGAAAGAGTTATATTTTTTGCTCTGGAAATTTTTTTTGAGCGGTGTTGAGAGGATGTAAACAAAGGAAGGAAATGAATATTTTTCAAGTAAAATAACTTTAAAATTGAAAGTGATCGACTCCGCACCACTCAGGTTACAGTTACAGATCTAGAATCCCTCATCAATTTTCAGTTGCTTCACAGCGATATAAATGTGAAAAAGCTAAGCGTCTACCTCTTTGTTCACCCTAAAAAGTTCACTAGTTTATTTTTTATTTTTATATTTTTATTAATGTGATTTTTAGCCATTAGAATATTCACAAGTATGTTCAGCGATCAAGAAACAATCAACAAAGTATCCATTTGCTCTAGCAACCCGGTAAGCTGATGCTATCATAATTTTCAGCAATGTCAGGAATGCTCACGATTGGGATTTTTTGGTTATGTCTTTTCTCGATTCAGATCAAGCTATGTCCTCATCCGTGTACATTGCAACAAAGCAGGCAAGCAATATATCATTATCCTTCTACCACTCGGATCGAGCTATGTTACAGAGCGAGTTTGTCATGGTAGTCGTAGCAGCCGGTTTGTCTGTATCGTTGGTTGCTTTATGGGTTTGGATTCGCTGTACGAGTTCCTATAGTAGCTTGTGGAGACTCCGTATGTAACTATATAATGCTATATGCCCCGTAACGTGTGTAGATCACCTTTTCGTGGTACGTTACGGGATATAAGATCTACCACCGATTCCTAGTCCTGCCTACTTCAAACTAGGGGAACAGGAGTTTTCAGTAATCCAAGGAACACATCTTAATCCTTGTTACTTTTTATGCCTTGTTGATAGTGACAAGACTCGGCTTTGTCTACCGAGGATGATCTTGAAACAAGGAAAAAAAAATGAGTTGGTTGTCTTCATCTATGTGATTTCTAATCTTCTATTCGTTGTTCCCTAGTTTGAAGTAGTTAAGGGGTTACGCCACCCTAGGATTTTCAAAAAATCGATTTTTTTTACATAAAAAGGTACTCTGAAGTGTCAAGAATAAGAGACAATTGGTTCCATGTCGAACAAATTAAAATTCCGAAAGTTATAAGCGAAATTACAAAACTTTGCATCACGCACCTGAATCTGTACCTCAAACTTCAACCGCGTTTTTTTCGAGACAACATTTCTCTCCGAGGCCCACACGATAGCATCTGCAATTTTGACTCAATTCGATCTAGACTTTGACGATTACATTCTCTGATTAATTATCTAGAGAAATACATACGAACATTTCAATTGATCAAAAAATGCAATTGTGGTAAACAATTTTAGAAACAAATTTCAGACGAAAAAACTGATTTTTTGCAAAAACAAGTACCATTTGCGTAAAATTTATTTTTTTTTCATCTCCGTATGTCCTTCTCTAGGTAGTCTTATATAAAATAAGAAAAATCACTCGTTTTTGTTCTAGGTTCATATTTACGACGAAGAAAGTGTGGGCCGCGTAACACTACACGGGAAGCAGTGCCAGGAACTCGCAGTGCTGCCAACTGCCACACATGGTTTCCCCTTATGAAAAAATACTGTAAGCACCCCTAATTCAAGAGCCACATGTGAAAAGGGCATACAAGCTTTTTCTAAACAAACCTTTGTATGCTTTTTTCTAGCCAACCGAGGGTCGCCCACGCAAACCAACAACATCATCGGGAAGGAGAAAGCTTCCCCTACCCGCTAATGTTAATGGTTTGCGTTGATGTCATATGGGTGGCGAGAAAAGGGCATAAGAAGGTTTGTTTACAAAAAGCTTGTATGCCCTTTTCACATGTTGTTCTTGAATTATGTGTACTATAAGCCCATATAAGTTAATTTAGTATGTGACTTTATTAAATAACAAAAAAAACAATTAATGAAGTTGGTGCATTTTTCTGTATTCTAGGGTGGCGTAACCCCTTTAGACTAGGGTTCTGATGCATGGTCATTATCGGTGTCATACCTTAATTTTGTTGCTAAGGAATCCAATTTTGACTGACAAAGGGGCGCGCCTTTGGAGGGTGTTTTAACACTCCAAAGGGTATACATAGCGGGACCTTTCAATTAGAGTCGGATCCTTGTGATAAATGCAAGAGTGGCAACTGTAAAAAAATCGAATACTTCATCATTTCTCAATAGTGATGGAGTAATACGACATGCACTAAACTAAGGACACGGGATATACTACAATAGATCAATTTACTGATCGCAGTAGTGTTAGGTCCCTAACAGAGGAAAAAAAATAAAACTATAGAAACAAACGCCTCTAAAGAACCATAACTATAACAGCGTTGCTCATATTTCACAATTTTGGTTAAGTTCCAGTTCTTGTAAAGATTCCAAAATTAATCAACTTTTTTTTTAATATTTGAAACTTTTTTTAAATACACTGGAAACATTCAAACTTCTACAAGACGTTACGCATTAATTAGATATGCTTAACATTGATTTTTTAGACCATTTTAGATGATAAACGAAGTATAGAATTGATAGTTTCGTTTGAGCACGGCAGTGTGAAAATTGAATATAGAAAGTATAAAGTGAGCAAAGATCATGTTTGAGGAAGGTACGAACTGGATCGAGCATTCCTTTTACCAAACTCATCCGTTGGTGAAGGGTAGTGAGGGGCGGTGTGGAGTATTTCCGATGGCCGGTCCGCTCATGTATCTCTGGTGTGCGGGAACGCTTCAGTTGATGTTTTTGAAATTACAGCTATTGTTTCCTCTACCACTGTCGGTGCTCCCGTAGGGAAGGGAAAGGTTCTGAAGTTGATCGATTGTTTATCTTATCGTCCATTAAATACCATGAGCATTCAATAACAAAATCATTGGCTGTCATATGGGGTCTGACAATGTTATGAATCATAATAATTTTAAAATTATTTAAATTTTCCTCTACATTCTGAGCAGCAGCTCTATTTCGGAGAATTCACTTAAGAATATTAGATTACTGCAGAAGTTTTTTTTAAATTTCTCTACTAATACATGGAATTCCTTCAGATTTTTTTTGAGCTTTTACAAAATTCAAAATGACTTTTTTGGTTTTCTCCTGAAATAGAGTTCTAAATAGAGTTTCTCCAAAAGTCGTTAGAGTACCTCCAGGAATTATGAATATTCTTCCAAGAATCCTAGAAAATGCTCCATAGTTATTGAGGATTAGGATCTAGAAGCGTACAATGGCCATTTCACACCAAATTGGACAAATAAGTATTAGAGCAAAAAGTTTGACGCATTCCCGTCGAATCGCCTTGGATGATGAAAGTTTAAGTTGCAATTTTATTTTTTTTCCCTAGAATTTTGGTTAATTTTTAAATTACTCCAGGAAATCTTCACATTTTTTTATGTTATTATTAAAAATGCACAGAATAGGACATTCTTCAGGAATTCTAGGATGTTTTGTGCAGTTTTTAGAGATTGAAATTTGCTTTAGTAACTGTTACAGGAATTCATGAAATGCTGCATCAGTCGTTTTCCTTTAGGAACTGTTAGATTTTCTTATGATATTCTTCTATTCTGAAATTCCGATAGCACTTCAGGAACAATGGGAATTTCTCTTGAAGTTTTTGGATTATTTGTTTCTATAAATATGTAGATAGGTTTTAAACTCTTTTAATGTATTTGAAAACATTAATATTCAAAATTATCTGAATGGTATTTTTAATCCTTCTATGACAATACAGTGGAGCGTAAGTAAAATACTGGAAAAAATATCAATCACCAGAATTGTTGTCGATCGCGTTTCCGTGTGTGCTCCAAAAATATGCGTTCCCATGTGTAGTCGGTAGTTCGTTTTACACACTTGATTCACCAATTAACCAGCAATGACGCATTTGCATCTTCAAACAACGAGATGAGCCTGCAGTCATCCATCTCTGATCGTTCTATTTACATGAACCGAGTAATGTTTGTTTGGGAGACAATTCCCGTTGACAACTGTTTCATCAATATTTTTCATTAATAGTAAGAAACCGTTATCAACATCGCATTAAATTGTTCCTCAACAATTCGCACTAAATACTTACATTTTTTTTTCTTCCGACACGGACACTCTATTCCGGTGTCTGGTGCTGCTGCTAGTGGCTTCGTAGGAGAACAAACACACTTTTGATGAGCGATAACAGCGCGAGGCACATTAAGACATTCAAGTTGATTTCAAGCTCATTTTTTTCGTTGATATCACCTGTGTTCTACGATAGTGACGAAATCTCCTGCTCATTTCTTATCACTGATTATATTGGTCACCTTTTTGTCGTGCTCTGGTAATCACAAGACACAGTATTTTCTTCAAGCTTCAATCATCCACTTTGATTGTCAAAGGTGCTAACTGATATTCCACATCGAACGAGATCTCGATCACATTTTGTTTTAGCATCCTTTAAAGCCCGCTCTTCTCTTGTACATTCCACTTTTCACACTTTATAGCCTTTAATCCCACTGAGCATGTCACACACAGAACTGATTATCGCCTTCGACTACTGTTCGCGTTATCACGATGCCCTTTTTTCCGTACAGAGCATTTAATAATAATTTCTTGTTTCGAATGTGCGTCCCTGAGGAGCGTCAGCCACACCGCGAATGTGAAAAAGATGTTCGCTTTCGGACCGTCGAGTTCCGACCGATTCCGTTGTTCAAGTGATACTAAATCAGTCTAATTTTTAAATTGAAGCGGAAAGACATCATCCTCCTATGCGCAGTCATCGACAATCATCGCCGCCACAATCGACCGGGCGGCCGCACAATGTGCTAGCCCGTGCAACGTAGCCGTTGGTGCCTATCTACTAAGCTTGTTTACGGGAGCGCAGGAGAGTGAGAGAACGATCGTTCTGCCGTTTTCCGAGAGAGAGCTGCCTGGTGATTGGTATAGTGTATGGTTAGGCTTTTCCCTGAAGTGGATGGCCGCAAGTTATACATAAATGCAACACATGAGACTTAACGCTTTTTCTTCCAGTTGGTGTTTCACCTAGTGCTGTGAAGGAGACGCATGGTTCTTTTGTTGTATTGTTGTGTTTTCGGGCTTGATGTTATGTGCCATGGTATTCCATTTATGAAACATAAATTAGACCTACTGGGTGGCCAGCGAACCGGGAAAACCGGCAATTAACCGGGAATTTGAAAAGTAACCAGGAAAACCCCATGGAAAAATCAATAATCTTTAATATACGGTTACATTGCTAGGCCATAGTTTCAGAATCAATTAGAGTCATTACCAAAAATAAGACTTGCTTTTTTGCTGTTCAATGCAGATATTTGTGATTTTCTGGGATTTAATTAAGTAGTCACCAATATTGCAAATTGATTTTGTACTCCAATCCGAATATGTCTTGTGTATGGGCCAAACGCTAAATTGAAAGTATCAATTAATGACATTTTGAAGAAAGTGGCTTAACTCATTATTGAGTTAATTGTTTACCCATTAATCAATAACTATTACCCCATTATTGAGTAACAGTTACTCATTAATGGGTGAAGAATTTACTCATTAATGGGTACTTTAAAGTTAGAATGTAGAGGAAAATACTAAATATGCAGGACTTTGTAATAAAAATATGTGAAAACCGAATCAGAACTAAAAGTGGGATTTTTTACGGTTTTAAACCATAATTATCATGCAATTTTTTTTAGAATCCCCATTATATTAATTCTAGATTTATCATGGAATTCTGCTCAGAATTATTATGGAATTCTTCTTAAACTGTCCGAAAAACTCTTACCCGAAACTCTTTTAAAAACAATTGTTTCAATTCGTTTTTAAAAATTGAATCTTCATCAGTTCTCCCTAGAAATGGTGGGCGTTGGCCAGATTTGGATTTTTCAGATATAATCCTAAATAGGACCTAGATTATTTAATACTCTAGTAAGCTCAAGTCCGTGTTCTGTCACAATGTTTCATTGTGATTAATCAACACTCAAAGGGGTAAAATATTAAATTTGGGACGAATTTGAAAGAAAGGGAACTTGGAGTGTAGAGCGCACTGCCCACTGGACGATTCCGAAGTCTGGCCAAGTGAGTGGGGTATGGGTTTATTTGATTGAACGTCATTTCAAATTTATATATTGATACATAAAAACCATTGGCATTTGGTATTTCAGATAAGACGGAGGGCCCGCTTTTTTTTTCCTCTGTTCGGGACCAAACACTGCTGCGACCAGTAAATTGATCTATTGTAGTATATCCCGTGTCCTTAGTTTAGTGCATGTCGTATTACCCCATCACTATTGAGAAATTATGAAGTATTCGATTTTTTTACAGTTGCCACTCTTGCATTTGGGATCGTCTTTTCTTCATACAATTCTCATTATTCATACTATATTAATCATGATCAGTCTTAGAAAATGTTATATGTTTAAGCCCCGTTCTAGATTTGTTTGTTATTCATATCTTATGCATTGCAGCTCGCGAGAGGTTACCAAATATGGGTTCTTTTTCTCATCCACAATAGTTTGGAGGGAGGGGCGATCTGAGAGCTGAATAGAGGCAAATAAAATAGGAAACACAACACCATAACCCAAACGACTAACCAACGCATAGTGGGGATTTTGGTAGCAAAAAGGCTTGAAATTGTCTGCCGCTCATACCACACATTGTAACATATGACTTCCTTTGAGAAAAATGTCAAGAATTTTATTCGCACGCGGTGATAAGTGCATGTGTGGAGCCAATTTTGCCCCAAAATCCCGTATTTTCTGTAGTTCTGTCCCATTATGATACTTAACTGATTCAAATAGTCAGTACCTTTTATCAGAAATAGCCAATTTGTCTTCTAGTAGTCAGCTTGTGCCTTTTAAAAACTATTGATAACATTTATAGGAGAGCATGGGGTCAAATAAGTCAGATTTTGTAATAAAATATAAAAGTTTTCCGAATTTAAACTCAATACTAAAAAATAAAAAAGAGATCCCTGCGCTTTGGTCAGAGAGCGTATAGGGCATCGTTGTGCCAGATTGGTCGAGGCACATTTCGAGTATGAGAAGGTGGTTACAGTTTGCTCAAAAGTGCCTGAGCAAAATGCAAGTACTTTCAATGATTACCCGTAGTTGCAATACCCAAGCAGCAACTTTGACTTTGTAAGAGTTGTTTATACCAGTATTTAAACTTAAAGAAGGTTTTGAAACTTTCATAAGGTGTACAATGCTGTTTGGGTAGTGAAGGTATAATTTTGAACTAAAATAGGATGCACTCAAATCATTGAGAAACATAACGCATAATTTAAAAAAAAATGCCTGAATTTGCAACCGATGAACCATTCTGATGGCCTATGGGTACCCAAGTAACCATATAGTCGCAATAGAGCTTTGTATATACTCACTTTGCGATAATATGGTTAGTTGGGGAATCCGATGAAAATAATCACTTCTTGAAACTAATCCCGGTTGTATGTATTTCTTTGTTTCTTTCTTTTGCAATTTGCATATAACACCGACGGAGTGCACATTCCAAGTGCTGGGTGACCTAAAGATGACCAGTGACATGGGACGCAAATGTCCTCCCAGAAAAGCAGGGGAATACAATAAAATTTGTTTTTGTTGAAGGATGTATCACAACAAAGGTAATTTAGATGCATAAAACAAATTTACATTTATGGGAACGTAGCACAAGAAACAAGGAAACGGGAAAGGAGACGTGAACATCAAGGTACGATGGAGACTCACTCATCACATTGAAACAACCAGATAAGTACACTTGCTTTTTATTTTATTCTACACATATATCCCAATCATTTTATAACTAAATTCGTGCCAGAATAAAAAGTTTTTTTTTCTGGAAGTGAGAATACACCTGTGTATTTTTGCGGGGCTTATTGTATCAGAAAATGACCTCAGAATGTACGTGCAGAAACAGGCATTCTTGAAATGGGTCGTTTGATGTACGATAGAGCTGTCACCTTCCATCTCCAGGGCTAAAAATATTTGCACATTCGACATACAGAAAATGCAGATAAGTTTCTTCCATAAAAACTCTGCCGGTACAGAGGGCGATGGATTGTACTCACACACACACACACACACACACACACACACACACACACACACACACACACACACACACACACACACACACACACACACACACACACACACACACACACACACACACACACACACACACACACACACACACACACACACACACACACACACACACACACACACACACACACACACACACACACTCACACACACACACACACACACACACACACACACACACACACACTCACACACACACACACACACAATACTAAAAAATAAAAAAGAGATGCTCAGAAAGTGGATTACAATAGTCTAAAGGACAAAACTGATCTCATATCAAAATAATTTACTTTTTTCGAAAGATTTCTGATGACTGAACAGTTTCTGCCGCTGAAATGCTAACACGTGATTTAGGTTTTCTTGCGATAAAAAGGAATCCAAGCTTCAAATGTGCTTGTTTTAATACTGTGTACGGACAAATAAATACATGTTTAGCGCCTGATTTACCCCAAAATCCTCTATAAATTGAAAGCATTTAAACTGGTTTATTGGCTTAAATAGACAATACATTTCTTTGGAAATTTACAAATATACCATTTAGAAGCCAGTAAGTAAGCTTTGATTAACTATTGCAAACATTTAAAGGAGAATGTGTGGTCAAGTAAGCCATGTGTCAAATATACAAGTTTGCTCATTTTGAATGGCATGTTAAAAAATAAATATGTACGCTGTACAAAATAGTCAGTAAATTGGTTGCAATAGTCTATCAAATTAGCAATATGTTTAGACTGCCAATCAAAGATGGTTATCACTGCTCAGTGACAACCATTTTTGATTGGCGGTGGTGTCCACTGTCGTCTTCAGCAGCAGGAACAGCAGTTCTCTAGTGCACAACGAAAGGCTGCCCGCAAGCAGCGAGCTGAAGCCCACATGAGCGCTCATTCACCGAAAAAGGAGGAAGAAGCCGCACCGCTACTGATCGAATTCAGTAGCTCTTCGTGAGTCGCTGTGGGCCATCTATGCCTTTGCGGAATATACGTTCTTCTTTGAGGCTGTTCATAAGCCACGAGGACAGTTTAGAGGGGAGGGGCAAATCCATGGTCCATACAAATTCTAAAAAAAAAATGTATACATGATTGTTAGACTGATGCAAAATTTGAAATTTTCGCTCCACAGCGTTCAAACGGTTTCAAATCGGGTCGTGATTAGCCTCCAAAAGTTTAAACTCATTTGATAAGAAACTGACATGGCACAAACCATTTAAAGTTTATATGGAAATTACCATGGGAAAACAAAACTTTTTGTTTATTGTCTTCTAGCCTTTTTAAATATTGTACTGTCAACAAATTCTATTGTTATTCTTATAGGAATTTTTTATCAGCTACAACTTTGCAGAAAATCGTTTTTCAGCCAAACGTCAAATTAAATAGTTATTAATTGTTTAAGAGATTGATAATCTTACGGCAAGATTAAACAACTGTATTGTGGGCAGTACGGTACTCTGCAGTGTGACACAGTAGCCATGATTTGTGTCCTCTATTTTACGCGCCATAAACACCAATGTTGCCTGCTGAATAGTTGATTGAGCATAATCATGAGACATCAGTGACTTGAATCATTAATAATTTGTGTTCCTTACATTTGATCGAAAAGTGGTTTTAATAAAGTTGTAGCTGAGAGTTTTTTTTAACAAGCTCAGCTATCATTTTCTAAAGTAGAGTGAACTGGTGAATTTTGAGATAGATATGAACCGAAATTATGGTTTCTCCATAATAATTCCCATATAAACTTCAAATGGTTTGTGCCAAGTCAGTTTTTCACTAAATGAGTTCAAATTTTGGGAGGCTAATCAGGGCACAATTTGGAACCGTTTAAGCACTGTGGAGTCAGTCTAATGATTGTCCATGCAGGGGGTGGTTTGGTCCAAAAGCTCTCAATCTGTCCACATGGACTGTGGACAGCCCTTTACAGATAAATTAATCCTAAACAAGACTAAAGTAAATGTTGTATGAGCGGTAATTGATACTCGTCAGATTTGCAGTGTACCACTAACCGCTCAATAAAGTAAAAGCACTGTGGTTCTCAAGAAACTTTGTTTGAGGCATGCACCTGTGCCATCTGTGCTGATTTTAGCCCAAGAAAACACGCAAACAACGTAGATTTTTAATTAAATTTCAAAAGCCGCCACCTTAAGCAAACAACAACAACAACGCGGGACGTATTTGCGAGTAAGTATGTAGGGGAAATGGATGTAATGTCGGCCTAAATGCCCCTAATTTGGGCCCATACATAAATTCAGCAATCGACTAAATCTTCAATAGCGACCAAAAGTATTCATTGGTACCGTCCCAATGACGCGTTTAGCTAGATAAAATTGATAAATAGCATATTTTTAGCGATGGGCCCAATCTTAGATGCATATGCCAACACTAGAGCCATTTCCCCTACATATTGCAATTGATCCGAAAAATAGCCCTTTTTGCAAAAACGAACGGTATATGGAGAATGAGCGTAGACTGGTAAATTGATGGTACACAGTTCAACATATGTTCAAAACATAGAACGTTACTTAAGTGATAAATAAAGGTCGCTTTCACATGCTCCATTCAAATAATTGATTTCGTTAGAATTCGACATTTTATTCTTCTTCTTCATTCCTTTATTTAACGTCGGTCTCTGTTCCGCAATCTAGTGCCAATCACCGACGGACATCGATTGCCATCCATTGACGGTAATCGAATGTGCAGGAAGGCAGCTTCCACACCTGCGTAGGATATCGCACCCATTCAACACACATGGGCCGGGACCAACGGCTTTACTTCCCTTCCGAAGGAAGACGTGACCCCCGTTGGCGAATCTACCATACAATGAAACCAGTGGAAGCGGATCGCGTTCTGATGGAGGAGGCTTATTGGATAGCGGAAGATAAAATGTTTATTGTGTTGTACCTTTTGACTATAGTTTTAAGATGTATTGTATAGTGAACAAGAATCCTCGGCTCTGTAAAGTTAATTCGGTTGAGCCTTATCAAATAAATTAAAAAAATAATCAAAAAAAAAATCCCTAGCATGTTTAATATTTGAGCAGCTCCAGGGCAAAATAACAAAAAAAAAAATATTTGCTTTACCTTCACCGATTTGCATGAAACTTTGAATAATTGTTTATTCGCATTTTTGATAAAATTCGGCCCTTTTGGCTCTCGTATTTTTTTTTTCAAAATAGTGCCTTTGATCTTTTTCAATATATTGAAGCACGTAAACGTCACTTCTGTCAGTTGTAGAGAAAAATAATGTCTTTTTGGGAAAAATATACGCGGTATATTAGAGTTTTTCTGGTTTGTCATTTGGCGTGGAACTGAAAAAAAATCATAATTCAGCCATTTTTTGGCGGCATTCGAAACTATATAGGGGAAATGGATGTAATGTCGGCCTAAATGCCCCTAATTTGGGCCCATATATAAATTCAGCAATCGACTAAATTTTCAATAGCGACCAAAAATATTCATTGGTACCGTCCCAATGACACGTTCATCAAGATAAAATTGGTTAAAGGAAGAAGTCTTCGTGTTATTTGCAGCAGACTGCAGAAAAGTTTAGATATTTTCTCTTCCTATTTACAAAAATGGAAGATTTCTCGCAACGCTTGCAAAACTCAACTTATAATATTTCCACATAAGCCTAGAGCTTCCTTTTTGAAACCTAGTAGTAGTCACATTGTCACTATGAACGGAGTTCCAATTTCCTGGTCAAACCAACTGAAATATCTTGGATTAATACTTGACCAAAAATTAACTTTTAAAGATCACATTGAGGGCATTCAAGCCAAATGTTACAAATATATAAAATGTTTGTATCCTCTTATAAACAGGAAATCCAAACTTTGCCTGACGAATAAACTTCTAATATTTAAACAAGTTTTTAGACCGGCCATGCTTTACGCTGTGCCAATATGGTCTAGTTGTTGCACTACCAGGAAAAAAGCACTTCAAAGGATTCAGAACAAAGTTCTGAAGATGATTTTGAAGTTGCCTCCCTGGTACAGTACTACCTAAGTACATAGAATTTCGAATGTTGAGACTTTAGCACAAATGTCCAACAAAATAATTAATAATTTCAGGCAAAAATCGTTGCAATCCTCAATTGCAACGATTAATTCCCTTTATACTTAGATAAGATTTAGTTTTAGTTTTTAGTTTTAAGATTTCAATTGTTATACTGACATGCAGGTTTAAAAAACCTGTTTAAAATACTGAAATGCCAAGACAGGAACAATGTAAAAACACTTAGATATATATCATAACAATTAAGGCTGGTTAGTTACTGTAGTAACTGGAGCACCTAGGTTAAAAATGAAATGTAATTTATTTTGAATTTGGAACAAATAAAAAGTTAAAAAAAAAAGATAAAATTGATAAATAGCAGATTTTTAGCGATGGGCCCAATCTTAGATCCATAGGCCAACATTAGAGCCATTTTCCCTACTTTACAGATCAATTCGGAATCAATAGATTAAAAATATATTGATAAATTGCCGAGCAATGGTTTTGATAATTTACCGTTACACATTTTACCGGAGGCATCGTAATACCAGTTAGCAACTCTGTGTTTTTATAACCACATTAAATTTTATCCTGACATTTCGTTCCGCAGATAAAGAAAAATTGGTTAACGTTTTCCTATATACAGCATACGATAAAGGCATGTGCCGCTAGATGGACTAATCAAAATTGATCACATCGATCGTCATGTAAGAGGGTTTTCCACTGTCAATAGCTAACAAAATATGATTTTATTTTCGTTTCACTACTACCTTATGAAGAACGTGTTTGACACCGGCGAGTGTTCTTTTCCAGAATTGCTTTGATTAGTTTGTTTTGTTATTCTACGCCACAAATGGCACGTCTGCTCGCTGCATATCTGCGTTGTAGAACCAGAATACGACACCCAAGAAATAGTTTCACTTTCTCAATAACATAACAACAACCATGGCACAACTTATTTAGTTTTGACTTTGCACCTGCGGTCTTTGCCGGGATGAAAGTGGCTCCCGCCACTGACTGCACTATTTTGGGCTCGATGTATGATCGCCCAGGTAAGAATTTGATCCAGGGTCATTGCCTGATAGGTAATATTTACTTTTGTTCAAAAACCTTGAGTGACAGGTTTCCGATAACACGTTTCATCCATGCGTATCGTACTCATGATAGAGGCACGACTTATCGGATTATCGAGATGCAGTTCTGGAAAGAAATCGAATCGTAATGTAAATAGGTCTTGTTAGTAGATGACCCGTCATAATGCTATATGTTCAATTTTCTGCTAAACGAAACATCACGGGAAGAATAATATCGCTTCACCGGTTTCCCAGATTTTGCTGTTATTTTTTTTTCAGCGAGTTACTTTACACTTTATGCCGCTGCTTCTCCGGGTTAGAAGTGCGCGGCGTAAATTTAGAATTAGTGTAAACATTTTTTCTCACTTTATTGTAGTAATCTTCTCTGTAGGGGCGGAAAATGGTAATGTTTAGCCGGCTGTGGAGAGAGGTGAAATGCGAAACCGGTTCAAAAGTGTTGCTATTCGGATGAGGGAAAACGTATCTAATGGACTATTTGTAGAGTGTTTGGTAATGTTCATAAAGGTGGTAATGTGAGAATCGAAGAAATACTCACATTAACTGTTTTGACAGAAGCAATTAAAACTCAACATGTTGTGATCGGCGTCGACTACAGATTTATACCGAATTTGTTTCTGATTTAGTTTAAACCTAGATCGGGTAGCAAAAAAGGTTGTTTTTTGACAAATGTCGATTTGATCGTTTTATTTTTTATTGTAGCCTGGCTTAGGTTAAAATGGTTCGAGGCTCGCATTGACGAACAAATTCGCTATTTTGCAAAGGAAACGCATGGTTCTTAGTTAATTGAATATATGTATAATGGTTTTTTAGTAGACGGTCATTGAGTTTTCAAACAGCCCAGCTAAATCTTCTTCCGTTTGGGCTCGTGGTGCCAGTTTGGTGATCCTCTCCTGCGGTAGCGTACCTTTGACCAGACTTGGAATATCGTTTCGGTTGAATCCTAGCGAGCCTAGTCCATTTTCTACCTTCAGATCGTACATGTACTGACGAACTACGTCCGAAAGGATTGCACCAGCGTCTTCTCGTTTTGCCTGGAATGTACAACAAACTAAAAATAGTCCAATATGTCAAAATTATTCAAATCAGTACCTTTGAAATATCCGCTCCAAGTATCTCTGCTGCTTCCAGATGGCGCTCCGGGCAAGTAGCCCCGGTAAATTTGAAAACTGCCGGAGCTGTCATCACCACCGACAAGCCATGTGGTACGATCGGATGATCGTCGTCATATCCTGCGGGAATAAAGTTCCTCACGTGTCCTGAAATCGGATAGGACAGCCCATGGCACAGGTGAACTCCAGCATTCCCGAATCCCACACCTGCCATTGTAGAAGCTAGGTGCATGTTGGATCGAGCCTTCAGATCGTCCTGATTAAACACCGCCGATGAGAAGTTTTCCCGAATGATCTTCAGCGCGAACCGAGCCCAAACGTCCGAGATCGGATTGCTTCCTTGATACGGAGGACGAAGACTGGGATTCTTCGGAGCTGGCCCACGTTCCGTGTAGGGAATCGCAGTGAAACTTTCCAGAGCGTGACAAAACACATCGAAGCCACAATAGGCAGCCACTTTCTCCGGTTGGCTCAAGGTGTGTAGAGGGTCGACCAGTCCCAGTTGAGGCCGCAAATGCTTACTGGAAATGCCGGTTTTAGCGTGAAGCGGTTTGTAATCGAATATGGCTACCCCTGTGGTTTCGGAACCCGTTCCGGCCGTGGTCGGAACAGCAATTAGCGGTTTCAGCTTCACAGTGACTTCCTTCGCTTGACCGATCGGTGCATTAACGTAATCAAGGAATTCTGCCTCCCGATCGGCACCGAACAGGTTGGCCACCTTGCACGTATCGATCACCGATCCACCCCCAATGGCAACAAAGGCATCAAAGTTATTCCTACGGGCGTACTCAGCTGCGTGGATCAAACTGGAAATTTTATTAAAATCTTAATTGCTCATCATCCTAAACTAGCAGAAATCACCTGCTATCAGTAGGCTCAACCCGCGTTTCATCATAAACCTGGTATTGGATGCCACAACGTGCCAAGGAATCGAAAGCCGTCTTCACCGAACTGAGCTTTGCCACATTTCTGTCCGTTACAACGCAAACATTTTTCGCGTTCATGTTTTGCAAATCATGCCCCAGTTCTTTGCTGACTCCCGGTCCGTAGCGAATCGTTGAAGATGACATCTGAAAAAGAAAAAGAAAATCCTTTTTGTAAAAACAATCAACCAATGACGCGCATTTGGATGAATGTTACTTCGAACGCGTATTCTTTTTCGGCTAGCACATCCATAGCGCTGGTCGATGATCGCGAATGAGCCGGGCAGCTGCATCTGAATGGAAATAGAAATCTGTAAGCACAATTTGTAAAATTGCATAGCAATCTTGCCACTTACGATCCACTTGAGATGACTTTCATCAGCGAAGAAATCCTGCCCCTAGGTATCATTTTGAAATGCAAAAATGGACGAAACTTCGTATAGATAACTCAATTTAATGTCTACACTTGCTTATCAATCCAAAGTTCGACTCAGCTGTTTTCAGCTTGGTCGACCTGCTACCACACATAGATGGTATGTTTTTGTTTGAATTTAATTCATACGCACAGCGTATACTTATTTATGCGCTTGCATGTATCGGTATGCGTATGAATGTTCACTTTGGGTCTGCGGATTTCTTCGTAGGTACATATGTATGAGAAAAGCTTATTCGATGTCGACTGATAGTAAAGACATCAACCGTAGATTGATTATGTTTGCTTGGCTGTCTTGTGGTTTGAATAAAATGTCGAATTCTAACGAAATAAATTATTTGAATGGAGCACGTGAAAGCGACCTTTATTTACCACTTAAGTAACGTTCTATGTTTTGAACATATGTTTAACTGTGTACCATCAATTTACCAGTCTACGCGCATGCTCCATATACCTTTCATTTTTGTAAAAAGGGCTATTTTTCGAATCAATTGCAATATGTAGGGGAAATGGCTCTAGTGTTGATTTATGGATCTAAGACTGGGCCCATCGCTAAAAATCTGCTATTTATCAATTTAATCTAGCTAAACGCGTCATTGGGACGGTACCAATGAATATTTTTGGTCGCTATTGAAAATTTAGTCGATTGCTGAATTTATGTATGGGTCCAAATTAGGGGCATTTAGGCCGACATTACAAACAAAGTTTCTTGAGAACCACAGTGCTTTTACTTTATTGAGCGGTTAGTGGTACACTGCAAATCTGACGAGTATCAATTACCGCTCATACAACATTTACTTTAGTCTTGTTTAGGATTAATTTATCTGTAAAGGGCTGTCCACAGTCCATGTTGACAGGTTGAGAGCTTTTGGACCAAACCACCTCCTCCCACCCCCTGCATGGACAATCATTAGACTGACTCCACAGTGCTTAAACGGTTCCAAATTGTGTCCTGATTAGCCTCCCAAAATTTGAACTCATTTAGTGAAAAACTGACTTGGCACAAACCATTTGAAGTTTATATGGGAATTATTATGGAGAAACCATAATTTCGGTTCATATCTATCTTAAAATTCACCAGTTCACTCTACTTTAGAAAATGATAACTGAGCTTGTTAAAAAAATTCTCAGCTACAACTTTGTTAAAACCACTTTTCGATCAAATGTAAGGAACAAAAATTATTAATGATTAAAGTCACTGATGTCTCATGATTATGCTCAATCAACTATTCAGCAGGCAACATTGGTGTTTATGGCGCGTAAAATAGAGGACAAAAATCATGGCTACTATGTCACACGCAGAGTACCGTATTGCCCACAATACAGTTGCTCAATCTTGCCGTAAGATTATCAATCTCTTAAACAATTATAAACTTTTTAGTTTGACGTTTCGCTGAAAAACGGTTTTCTGCAAAGTTGTAGCTGATAAAAATTCCTATAAGAATAGCAATATAATTTGTTCACAGTACAATATGTAAAAAGGCTAGAAGACAATGAACAAAAAGTTTTGTTTTCCCATAGTAAATTCCATATAAACTTTAAACGGTTTGTGCCATGTCAGTTTCTTATCAAATGAGTTTAAACTTTCGGAAGCATATCAGGACCCGTTTTGAAATCAAACGATGTGGAGCGAAAATTTCAAATTTTGCATCAGTCTAACAATCATGCATACATTTTTTTTAGAATTTGTATGGACCATGGATTTGCCCCTCCCCTCTAAAGTGTCCTCGTGGCTTATGAACAGCCTCAAAGAAGAACGTATATTCCGCAAAGGCATGGATGGCCCACAGCGACTCACGAAGAGCTACTGAATTCGATCAGGAGCGGTTCGGCTTCTTCCTCCTTATTCGGTGAATGAACGCTCATGTGGGCTGCAGCTCACTGCTTGCGGGCAGCCTTTCGTTGTGCACTAGAGAACAATGTTCAACACCACGTGCCGAAAGCACTGCTGTTGCTGCTGCTGAAAACGACAGTGGACACCACCAAACACGGTGATTGAATAAGCAGCGTTCGGCGAGACTGGATGGAATTCGATTCGAATCTGTGTTAGGAAAGACGCAGACAGGCAATCGGTGATAATTTTGATCACCATTGCAACAGTTGGACATTTGTGTAATTTTCAATAGTAACCTATTGAAAATTGATAAAACGTTCATTTGAAAAATGTCCAATCGATTGACTTGTTTATAATTAAAATCCAGCCGCTATTGACAGAGTTATAAGTGGTCAAAACCTGACCACTTTTCGTTAAGCGGTCGATTTTGGTTTTTTGAAATTGCACCCCCAACATGTTGCCGAAAGACGTAATCCTGCATAAAAAAAATAACGGTGTGTTTTTCGATGGGAGCAAAACCACGCCAAGGTGCGAAAAAATTAATGAATTTCATATTGTATCTCTTCCATGGAGCTTTACACAATTGTTAATAAAACACACAATCATTCACGGTTAACTGTGCCAGAAAAGCACGATGAGAAGTATCTTCGTAGCAGCTGTCGAGGCATATGGAAATCGAAGATGCCCGAGACTCGATTGAACACTCGTTGCAGCCCACCTATTGCACCGTTCATGCCATAGTTTGTGCGCTGAAGTGGCAATCTCAGCATAACGTTGTTACGTAGCGCACGGGGTTGGACGTTAATGTTGACTTGCCCCAAGATTGCATTGCAATCAATTCTACCTTTGTAAAGTGTCCGCAATGAACAGGGCCCTAGAGGTGTCTCTTCTAGTTCAGAGAGGCTCCAGATCAATCAGCTGGCAACGACTTTCATAGCTGGGCAGATGAAATGGGTCTCTCCAAGGCAGCTTCCGCAGAGCGAATCGAAGAAAACGGCGTTGAACGGACTCAACTCTCTCAGCACCATTGTTGTAGTTTGGACTCCAGACCACAGAACAATATTCCAGAATGGATCGCACCAAGGAACAGTACAGTGACTTCAAACAGTAGATATCGGAGAAATTCTTTGCTATCCTGAAGATAAATCCCAATGTCCTAGACCCAATGTCGTCGACAACGTACGAGATGTGCTGCTTGTACGTAAGTTGAGAATCCAGAATAACACCCAGATCTTTCACATGGTTCACACGGTCGATTACAGTGCCGATAAGTTTGTATTCAAATGTGATTGGTTCTTTCTTCCGAGTAAAAGTGATCACTGAACACTTAGTGGGGTTAACCACCATCAATCGAGCGGATTCGTAGGTAGATTTTAAGATCGTCTGCATACGATAGTCGTGGGCCTTCGATGACCAAGTTCACGTCATTGAAGTAGAGTAAGAAAATCAAAGGTCCCAAGTGACTTCCTTGAGGTATTCCTGACGTAGCTAGATAGATATTGGACCGGTTGTCACCAATGGCAACCATCAGTTGCCGATCAGTGAGATATGAACGAAACCATCGCAAGAGGTTGCCGCTGACCCCAAGTCTATGCAACTTGGCAATCGCGATGGCATGGTTTAGCTTATCGAAGGCAGCTGACAAGTCGGTGTATATGACGTCTGTTTGAGTCCTCTCTGCCATGCTTTCCGTAAGATACGATGTCAAACACAGCAGATTTGTGGAAGTAGAACGACCGGAAGTGAAGCCGTATTGATCACCACTTAGATACTGCTTACAATGAGAGAGTAGAGGCTCCATGATAACTAACTCGAATAACTTCGAAACTGCACTCAACGACGTAATTCCACGATAATTGTCCACATCCCGTTTGCTGCCCTTTTTGTGGATAGGAAACATATGTGAGAATTTCCAACAAGATGGAAATGTACCACTTGAGATGGACAATCGAAATTGGTGAAGCATGGGCTGGCTATATGCTTTTTCAGGAATACGGATGGAACGCCATCGGGTCCTGGATTGAAGGACGACTTGAGTTGTGATGCGGCAGTGGAAATCATCTCGACGTTGACATCCATCGCACCCAGTGTTTGACCGTACAGTGGAACATTACTAGCTGCTAGGGTAACGTGTTCGTCAGTTCAATAAACACTGGCATGAAAACGGCTAATCTAATCGAAATAACGTCTGAGACAAAGTTGTAAGAAACTGAATTACCTTTTCTAAAACAAAATATAGTTTGAAAAAATCTAAAAATTTTGGTCAAAAGTAAAAAAAAAACTGCTTAAAAATTAAACAGCAGATTTTGAATTTTTTGTTTATTGCAATAAAGCTTGCAATTCTCAAAAATACTAAACTTTACAAAAAGTATTAAAAAAAAAATCAAATTTAGAACGATTATTTGGAGTAACTGTTTTCTGCAAACATAAAAACATTTTTTTTTTAAAGTTGATGTTCTACGATGCATGTCAATTTTAATGTGTCCATTGTGTCCAGTATCATTAAAGTTAGCATTTTTGATAGGCTTCCACATAAATGGAAGTTTAAAAGTCTTAAAGATGTATTTTGTTTGGCTATTGAAGTTTTTATCATTTTTTTCATGTTTAGACCAAAATTGGCTTTCAGCGTGTATTTTTTTTGTTTTTTTTTTTCCTGAAAATGCAATCCTACAACTTTGTATCTGACGACTTCTGAATTCCTGTTTAACTATACACAGCTAAAAAAAAGTAGTGTAAATTTCCGTTACTATGATGCACATAAATGGAACGTCATAAATCATACAAATTTACATTATAAATCGTGTAAATTTATGAGACATGTCATGCAATATTCCATATATTGTATGCAACTTTCCACCTTTGTTTGCAACATTTCTTGCAAGCTGCTAGTTTACGTGAAAAGGAAGTTTACATGCATGAATGTTTGCATGCATGAATGTTTACATCACCAGTAAAATTCAGATTTTTTTAGTGTGTAGAAAAACATCATAAAACTGTTTGGTTGCCGTTGACAGTTCCGACAGTTTGTGCATGGTGTAGTTCATATACAATTAACTCTCCACAACTCGATATTCTATAAATCGATATTTTCTTGAACTTGACAGTAACATTGCAGGTTTTATCGAGGTTTTATAGCATTCTATAAACCTACATCATGGTCTACAGAACCCTCATAAAACCAAAATTGTTACTTGGGATGCGGTCCCTTCATTTTTGCATGTATCGTACTCTCCATAAGTCTATAT